CATGTGAGACCATCATATTTTGCACTACAAGAAATGGGGGCATTAGCGGCGACGCATGACATTAGCGGCGACATGTATTTTGCATTACATGTCGCCACTAATGCCATGCTTCGCCGCCAAAGGCGTCGCACCTAATGGTCACATAATAGTGATCCGCGTCAAACGAGCCCCATCTGTTCGATTTGTTTTCAATCCTAGGGTTGTAACAGACTGAAAAAAGGCGCTGACTTTTCACTCCATGGTGTCGCCGCTAATACCTCTTCGTCGCCGCTAATGCATGTGCGTCACCACTAATGCCCGTCGCCGCTAAAGGCCTTCACAGATAACCCCCCGCTTCAGCTTTCTTTCTGTGTGTCGTGTCTTCTGTGAAATCTTCCACCCGACTCAGTTCCTTCGACCATCCAACACCCCTCCAGCCGTCGATTCCTGCCAGGAGACCGCCATCACCGCCGAGCAAACCTCCATTATCGGCGTCCTGCACCTCGATTACTGGCGACCAAGCCGCAATTGAAGGTCGAATTCCTCCTTATTTTCTATTATTCTTCTGTTTTGAAGGTATTTTGGGAGATGAATATGTAGTACAATTCTCAGATTTTGTTTGGTTGAGTGATTATATATGTATTTTGAGGTATGAAATTGTTTATGCATTTTGAGTGATTATATATGTTTTTTCAGATTTATGCAACATTTTGTATATATTTTTCAGATTTATGTTTATGCTCAATGTGGTGTATTGGCTTTAAATTAAAATTAGGCATCAAATTAAAATTGGATGTATACATTTGTTAGATATTGTATTTAGATGTATACATTTGTATGAAAGTTGAAATTGGATGTCTAAAATGGTAGGTGCTATAAGGTATGGTTGTATGAAATTGGATGTATTGCTTAATTGTTTGAAATTGGAATTTGAATTGTATTTATTGTATGCTTAATTGTATGAAATTGGAATATGAAAGTTGTATTGTATGTCTAAAATGAAATGAAAATTGGAATTGAATGTATTATATACATGTATGATTATGTGATATTTAGGATGAATAGTTTGGTGTATATAAGGTGAAGTGATAAATTTCTTAATTGATAAGTTATAGTTTTTGTATTTAGATGCTATTGTTTGTATTGTAAAGTGCTTAATTGATAAGTTAAAGTGTTTGATAAGTTGAAGTGTTTGTATTTACATGTATGATTGTATTAGATGTTTATTATGTCTTTATTTTCTTGTTAATATGGTTTCAAAGTGTTTAATTTTGTTAGTGACTTAATGTTGGTCATTACAACTTTAGCTTAATTAGGTTATTAATAGCAACACACTTTTAGTAATTTTAAATTAATTCTTATGTAGATATTAAAATTGGACAATTGTTAGGAATAGCGAACTAGGTGGTTTTTTGGCAGAAAAGGTCCTCCGTCTATGTGTGTGTTTACGATTCTGGGTTGTTTCTTTTAGGGGGTCGTTTTTTACCATCTTGTATATTTTTGTGTACACGTGGTGTCGTGAATTTGCTTCACCGTTTTGTCGCCCAATCATGTTTCGATTTCTGTTTCTGGAACCTTTATTGGTTCCACCGTTTATGCTATACACGTCTCCGTCCACCGCTTCTGCTTCCAATAAAAAAACATACACGGATTACCCACATGTACACCGCTCCATCTTTTTGCACATCAAGAAACTTCCATCGGCTCCAAAATGCACCGTCTCTGTCTAAAGGCATCGACATACAAGAAGAATCAGGAAGGTAAACATAGCAGTCTACCACTGGGTTCTTAACAAACGCGATTTATCGGAGGCTCCACCGCCTAATCTCTATTTTTTTTTCGAATCTACCCCCGTCCTCCACTGCTTTTGTTCAGCTAAATCAGACCTCCGTCCGGTCGTGTCGGGTGAAGTCGGCAACCCCATCCGTGATAATGTCGATAAAGCAATCTCCTGTCTGCTGACTATCGATCGGACTATCGATCGAACCCTAAATGGCCTACCTCCAGATGATTGAAGTTTGCTCACGATCAGATACTGCTAAGAAAATCCTCAAGTCGTCCCCTCTAACAGTTTTCATCTTCTCTTTTGCCCAAAGATTTGGATTCTTGCTTCCAATTCCATGTTTAGTTTGCAAAATCGCATCTAGGTCAAGAGAATCATGGGTCGGGTTTGCACTTTGCCTCTATCATCATATAGCTACTCGAAAGTTCTTCTCTAATTAACAGTGCATATGAGGGGTCTTTCCCCAGTTCCTCAGACAATCCCAAATTTGAGCGGAGAAGCAGACGACTATCATGGATGATTCCAAGATAAAGAACTCAAACTCTTCGTCGAGAGCTGCCAATCCGACCCTTGGTATTTGTTGCTTACATGTGACAGGTATGAATTCTTCAACTCCAACTATAGTTTTCTTTTCAGATTTCTCTCTACTATCCATGCTACTATGGTTTTTCTTTGCATTTATTGGCACAGGTTGCAGCCTTGAACTTTGGGGATTTCTACAACTTGCAGTATGTTAAAATGTATAACATATTCATGGTCCAGTTACAGGTATGTGCGAAAACCTTTTTATGTTTTTGTTTTGCCCTATCTTTGTGCTTATGTTCTTTTAAATTATTTTTATTGTATGTTTCATTTTTTTGTAGACGGTTCTTCCACCTACTACAAATATACTAGATGCATATTTAAATGGCTCTAGTGACGAGCAGGTGATTATAGGGTTTAACAAGAAATGTATGTTATGATTAACTTTAAACTTAATTTATTCAAACAAAGCGTTACTAATAAGTTTTGTTCTTATTTTTCCTCTTTTCAGGCATTCATTCAGAGTTTGGCATTGTTTTTCACTTCATTTTACAAGGTAAGTTTGTCTTTTGTGTCTTAACTTTATTACATTAGATCTAATATGGCACTCTGCATGCAGTTTCATATCCGTGTACTGGAATCCACACAAGAGAACACTGCTGCACTTTTAATGGGCCTTGAATATCTCTTGAGCATTTCTTATGTTGATGATACAGAAGTTTTCAAGGTATGACACATATTGTTTTTGCTTTCTCTTTAAAAATGAGACAAGATAAAGGTACATCCTGATTTATTTATATAATATTTTTTGTCAACAGGTTTTCTCACGTCGGCTTTATTTTGTATTATGTGTTACCTGAGCTCTAAAATATCAGTGATCTGTGAGCCTCTTAATCTGTGTTTTTTTTTTCTATTGAGTATCTTATTGGATGGATCATGAGTTCACGTGGTCTGATTACTCACAATTTTATCCGACAAAGACATTACAAGTGTTAGGTAGTACTTTTATGGTTTGATTTAAGTGATAAACACTCATTGGATCCAGTCGTGCATTTTTGTTAATGTATGGTAACAATAATATTTTCGGATATCAGTAAGTCCATTTGGTAAATTTTACTTTCCCTGTAGTGCCATTGTTTTCAAAAAAAATTGTGGTATCGTTCAAATTAAGGTTTTTTTTTTGTTTTTTGTTTTCTTTTGGGCAAAATCTTCATTTCAGTAATCTGATATAAATCTTTTAATGATTTTATTTTTAAAATACTCCTTTTACAAGGGCTTCACAATTACCCGTTTTAGTTCTTAAAATGGACCAAACCTACTTCAAGTAACTCATTTTCCTCTGTAAAAATTATTTTCTTACAAAATTTGGTTGTCAAGGAAACTTTTATCCGACACATTCAGGTGTTCAACACTTTGGTTTTTAGTTGTGTCGCCGGATAAAGATTGGAGCCTAATAAAATTCGCAACCAGTTCTGCTCTACCAGGTGCTTGATTTAATAATATTTTCTCATTTTGTCTAAGTACATTTTCAGTACTGGTAAGGAACCATTTTTTTCTATTTCTTGATGAAAATTTTATTCTTGCTTTTGAATTTTATGTTGTTGTTATGGTGTTCTAGACTAAACTAATCCATCAGGACAGATAACTGAGAGATGTTAAGCAACCTCCTGATATAAATTAAGTTTTTTTTTTCTATTATGTATTCAGGTTTATGCAGTACACTGCCTAATCCGCCAAAATTTATCAATAATGTGGGTTTATATTCGTTCTTTGACAACACAAGCACTTTACAAAGTTAGATAATGCATTTTCTTTCATGAATTTATGAATGATTATAGATTTTGAATCTCAGGTTCATTTATGATTAGATAAAAATTGTATTCAATGCGTGTTTTTTTTTGTAGTGTTTATAAGTTGGTAGTTTTTATATGATGTGAAAAAATATAAGTAACCTGCCATTATAAGTATAAAAATTATTCAATGTATGTAATTTTTTTTTTAAATTAGAATTTTACTTACAAAAAACTTTACTGCCAAAATTACTCTAATTCATGTTTTTTTTAAATAAACAGTTACATTTTTACTTGATGATTATGAAACAGGAAGTGAGAACAGTGAATGAATTATCCATGACTGACCTGCACCATGAGATGCAAGAGATTGAAAACAACCGTGACTGATTCATGAAAGTAATCAAGAAGTTAAATCAGAAATTGGATTTTGTAACAAAGAAATCATCAGGTTTGATCGAGAAGTCGGAAATTGAAGATGTAATTATGAAAATGCCACGGTCGTCGAAGATGCATAGATTTATGAAGCCTACAATCTACAGTACATGAAAACCGGGAACGGGTTATCAGAATTCGTATAAGACAGAGACTAGACATGAAAGAAAGAGGTAACAATTACCATTGTCTCGGGCAGAATCCATGAGTTTTTCTATAAAGGGCCTGACCGAAAGCTAGGATCACAACTCGGGGATGACTTAATATTCTATGTTTGATGTAATATGGTAACAAATTCCCTTTTCTTTCTTAGCATTAAACTTTATTCATCAGTTGATATTTATAAAATTTGAGGAATAGGAAGATATTTTGATTTTTATTTTGTTTAATAAGTAATACCACTCTTTTTGTCCATTTTTATGTAGACAATGATTAGATTGATCTTCATACTAAGTTATGGCATGAATGTGTTTGTTTTTTATTCTTCCAGTATGTATGAATTGAATTTCTTTATGCAACCGATAAAAACAAAAATAACATTTGTTGCAATTTACAAAATACGGCAGATGCACCAAATGACATTGTACTTCATGTCACGTGATGGGGTCACTTCATGCAGCTTGACAAAACCTCTACTACCAATAAGCATAAATTTTTTTCTTCTTTTTAACTCTTCTTTTGAATACCTCTGTATGTCTTTAATAACTTAGACCAAAAAAAATCACACATCTGACCCCGCAACGCGGTGTAACTCACCTAGTTATAAAATAAAGTTAAATTAATTTTAAAAAAATCAATAAAAAAATATTAAATTAATTGTAATATCAAATTAAATTGGTTATAAAATCAAGTTAGTTTTAATATTAAAATAAAATAAAATTAGTGTAAAAAATTAAACTAATAACAAAAAAGAAAATATTAAATTAATTAGAAAATCAAATTAAGTTAACTTTAAAATCAAATCAAATTATATATAAAATCAAATTAAATTCATTATAAAATCAAGTTAAATTAATTATAAAATCAAATTAATATTAATATTAAAATAAAATCAAATTAATTATAAAATCAAATTAAATTAATTATAAAATCAAATTAATATTAATATTAAAATAAATCAAATTAATTATAAAATCAAATTAAATTAATTATAAAATCAAATTTGTATTAATATTAAAATAAAATCAAATTAATTATAAAATCAAATTAAATTAATTATAAAATAAAGTTAAATTAATTTAAAAAAAATGAATAAAAAGAAAATATTAAATTAGTTGTAAAATCAAATTATAATGTTATAATTAACAAAAATCAATAAAAAGAAAATCTTAAATTAATTGTAAACCATAATATTATGTAATAGAAAATAAACAAAAGTATGATGTTATAATTAATAAAATTATGATACTTTTGTTAAGTATAACATTATATTTTTGTTTATTTTCTATCATAACATCGTACTTTAGTTTAAGTTTCTTCTTTATAATCATCAAAAGCCTAGAAATACCCGCCTGAAATTGATTTAGAAATTAATTTCGGGCTGTCCCCGTTTTGCCACTGCTTTTTGAATACTTTATCTCGTTTAGGATGTGAACATGTATTACATGATTGTTTGTTTAAGAAATATTTTGTTGTTATTTTCTCTTTGCTTCTCG